CATAATCTGTAAAGCCCCACAACGTTTACAGCTGTAGATGATGTGTGGAAAACAGTGCAAAATGGAAATCAATTTTGCTTCAATATTTTAGAGGGATAAAGGGACTAGTGTCCTATCTCCACAATTCATTCTGTACAAAGACCGAAGGGTGTTTTAAGGAGCACAGAGGGGTTGTGCTGTGGAAGGAGGTGATATATAGGGATGAAAGACCAGATTTTGCTACAGAACGCTGCTGACACTGAAGCTGTTCTCCGCAATTTTTGATGGCATAAGCATTCCCTCCCATTACCTTATCGTTTCAGTCCTGTCCATCAAACACTGAGTCTGGGCTCTGTGCCAAAGCCCCCATAAGTAGGCTAGTTGAATCATTATTATGATGCATAATATTTTATCTACAGTATTAATGGGAACACTGTATAAAATGTATAATGACTTACCACAGGACTGAATCATTTAATTGCTGGCATCTCAGTGCAAAGATTCTGAAGTTTTCAGGAATAAACCCTTATAATTTGATTATTAAAGCTACTCTAAGGTTTGGTCCTCTAGCCGTTAAAAATCAAACTGAATGCGTCTTGCGTCTTTTATTTGTGCTTCAGCTTCGCTCGTGGACACGTAAATAACGTTTTTACAACCACACTGTAAATAGGTTGCTGTAAATTTTACAGTAACTTACTGGCAGCTGGATGCCAGCAATTTATTGTAAAAATGTTTACAGTATTAGTACTGTAGTTGCATTTACAGTACAGTAATGTCTTTACTGTATTTTATTTACAGTATTATTACCGTATTTTAATTTACAGTATCAGTACTGTAATTGCATTTACTGTACAATAATGTATTTACAGTATTATTACCGTATTTTAATTTACAGTATCTGTTATCTATGTTTTTTTATCTAGTTTTTCTCATTCGTTGTGACAACAAACGTTCAGCTTTGCTACTTCACACATCACATGACATGCATGGGCGAATGGGGTATATCTGCAATTTCCTGCGAATTCCGTCTCACAGCTCTAGAAAAGAATGAACTTTTTTCCAGTTTAGTGTCATTTTAATCATTATTTAACTATTAGCTGGGAGTAGCACCGTGATGATTCCTGCGAGGTGCGGACTTGAATTGTTCCTAAAATTATGCAGCTTAAGAAATGTGCTATTGTTTGAGCTTATGCTGATTTTTTTTACGGTGGCCCAGTAGTGCACAACACAACGAAATTAGCACAACACAATAGAAACAAGCCGCAACCGAAAGGAAACTAGTCGCAACACAACGAAATTAGCACAACACAATGTAAACAAGTCGCAACACAAAGGAAACAAGCCACAACACAACAAAATTAGCACAACACAACGGACACAAGCCGCAACACAACAGAAACAAGTTGCAACATGATGGAAACAAGCCGCAACACAAAGGAAACAAGCCACAACAAAATTAACACAACGGACACAAGCCGCAACACAACAGAAACAAGTTGCAACATGATGGAAACAAGCCGCAACACAAAGGAAACAAGCCACAACAAAATTAACACAACGGACACAAGCCGCAACACAACAGAAACAAGTTGCAACATGATGGAAACAAGCCGCAACACAAAGGAAACAAGCCACAACAAAATTAACACAACGGACACAAGCCGCAACACAACAGAAACAAGTTGCAACATGATGGAAACAAGCCGCAACACAAAGGAAACAAGCCACAACAAAATTAACACAACGGACACAAGCCGCAACACAACAGAAACAAGTTGCAACATGATGGAAACAAGCCGCAACACAAAGGAAACAAGCCACAACAAAATTAACACAACGGACACAAGCCGCAACACAACAGAAACAAGTTGCAACATGATGGAAACAAGCCGCAACACAAAGGAAACAAGCCACAACAAAATTAACACAACGGACACAAGCCGCAACACAACAGAAACAAGTTGCAACATGACGGAAACAAGTCGCAACACAACAAAATCACCACAACACAATGGAAACAAGTCGCAACACAATTAAATCAGTTCTATGCCTTGTGTTGGGGAGATTTCATTGTGTTGTGCAGCCTACTGTGCCACTGTAGATTTTAGCCTGCCAGATGATAAACTGAGCAAAAAAGAAAAACACATTTTGAAAGCGGGACCTAAACAATCAAGAACACCCTAGCAACTATAAAGCATCATGGCAAAAAAAAAAAAAAAAACCTACATAGCAACATCCTGGCAACCACCCAGAAGCTCTTTGGCATCAGGCTAATGAGTTTTTCACAGGCAAAATCTTCCTTAATCTTTGTATCCAACCTTTTGTATTCACTTAGGCACTTAAAATGCCAGAAAATATGAATATAGATGTCTCAAGGCAGAGGAAGGGAGGGACTCTTTGCTTCTACAACTCAAATGAGCCTCTGTGTAGCACAGGATTTGGTTGCTTTGAACGTGTGACACGTGCTTGAATGCATTCGGTGACATTGTGACCCTTCTTTGGTTCATCACAGATAATAACAGATGGTCACTCCTTAGAATTGTTTTAATTAGCCCCCTAACAGAAGGACGTTTAAGCATGACTAATATCTGTGATTTTGATTTATTAATTAATGACGGGTTTTGTCACGCTTTTATAAATGGCCACACAACAGTGACTATTTGTCAAACATGTTCAGTTTAAAAAGCCATCTTGGGAAGCAGTACACTTTCTGTTATTTCAAGGAAAGAATAGCCATTTTGTGTTTAGATGCACTTGCATAATATGAAGCAAAAAGCTGCACTGTTTACTAATGCATATCGATATATAAAATGTGAAATTCTTAACATGCTACGCTACATGTATAGTATTATTAAAATCTTTAGCAATGACAACTGTTTTTAAATTCCTTGTTGTTTGTAGATAAAGTGTAAAGCTTTCATTTCTGACCTCACATGGCTTAAAGATGCTGTGAATGTGCAAATATCATCAGGGACCCTGGGGCCTCTTTATCCTAAAGGAGATCAACAAGGTAGGGCAGAATGTTGATTCAGATTGTACAGCGTGCCCAGGTGACCTATTACTGGGTTCATTTACCTTTTACTCTTCCAAAGAAACATACACTCAGCATTTGCGTATGTCGTTATTTTTCTAACAATCTTAGCCTCTGAAGAAGAACCAATCTAATGCTTGCAAATTGAGATTCGTTTTTACCTTACGCTCTACCTCCCTCTAGTGTCTAGACATATTAAATTAATCAAGATAAAACTGACATGAAAGGGTAGGATTACCAGAGTTACATATTTGAAACTCAATGATTACAAAATTATGGCCGACTGTAAGATATAGCCTATATAAAATGAATCATTCTCAGTGTGGTAATAAAATCAAGAAAAGTTCTAATCGATTTTATTCCATTCTAAGAATGTTCAAAAGTGTTTTAAATCTTGTTGATGTTTCAGTCATGTTCAGCTATGTTTATAATAATAATATAAATAAATAAATAAAAAGAGAAACGTACTACTACTTGTATAATCTGGGCTATTCTAATAATTGTAATTATTATAATTAGATACGCAGCGCATTTAATAGGTTATAAACAGTACTCGTTTTCACCTACAGAGCCTAAACGAAAGTAGAATAACGCCCGGCTGTGAATTTATTGATCCTACTACGCTGAAGAATTCTATTAATATTCATAAACAAAGTCTTTGCCATTGGAAAGCAACGACATAACGTCAAACCTGCCTAATTTATATTCATAAGCCAACCTTGTGTCATTGGAACGTTTCCACGCAACGTCAACGTGACTTAATTAATATTCATGAGCAGAGGCTTCGCCGTAGTAGGATTCGTGATTTCGGACCCGGAAGTGGTGTAATAGTTACTCGCTCTGTGTTTAGTTTGTGAGTTTGAAAGCGGACTGTGTGTGTTTTCGCACAAATGGAAAGTTGACCGCTCGGGAATGGAAGATGAGTCTTCCGTGAGTGTGAATGTCACCGCTCAAAATATGCCCGGTTATACTGGACGCGATGGGGAATCTGTCCATGTATCCAGCGGGACGCGGAGCACTGATTTCGGCCGGGATGTCCGCAGCAGCGACGCGAAGGTGCCATCATCATTATCGTTATCCTCGAAGGATGTTTTGGAGTTTCATAAACACAAACATGAGCCAGGAGGCAATAATAAAGAAAATAACGAGAGGGAAAACATAAGAGCCGTTGACATTTTAAGGAGGAATTTTGGTTCCACTATCAGAGATCCAGAAGATCCCAAAGACCTGGAGAAAGTAGGATTTGACATCAAACTGAACGACTTGGATCATGAAAAGGATGATGAAAGGATGCAATGTAGCACAAAAAGTCTCCAACAAAACATGGAGAGCAACTCAGGATTGGGAGATCCTGATGGGAATCATCATATTGATTATAATATTGATTTGAAGAGTGGTGAAGATCCCAGCCAATCAAAAGAGCATGTTTACTGCACTGTATACTGTATTGCCAATGATAATTATAGGATACCTGTTGAGAAAACAACATCTGATCATGAAGCTGCATCTTTATCATCATCATCATCATCAGATGTGCTGGTTTTACCTCCCACCGACTTGCCAAATTCAGAATTGGACCATGATCACTATCCAGAGCCCTATACAGTCTCCGACCTGATGCTGTCTGGATTAAACAGCTCGTATATCACTGGCAACAGTTTATCTGTTGTGTTAACCTGTCGTATTTGTCTTGATGACAAACAAACCGTATCGCTACACTGTTGCAAAAATGCAGTTTGTGAAGAATGTCTGAAAAGATACATCATCTCACAGGTATCCACGTCCATACCATCTCAGTTTTCCTTTCTTTTCAGCATTGAATAAAGTCAGGGATGTTTCTTTGTTTGTGTCTGCAACCACCTTTAAAGTGGACTGATGCAAACCTAATATGCCTCTACGTGCCAGCAATGAGAATCACATCCTCCTGAAGCTGTGAAACATCTGTCATCTTAATGTGCTTTTCTGGTATAGTGATGGTAATACTGTGATACTCCACGATGACATGTTTATGGTCTTTACAAGGTAATCTAAGGTGTTTCGACAAGCATGTTTTGTTGGAAGAGCACCTGTCAGTCAGCCTGATATTTGCTTTTCTGAATTGTTTGTCTTCTAACTATAGCATATTTCTGTTTGTTAATGGAGAAGTTCTCCATTGTGTTTGTGAAAACGTTCTCAGCCTGTCCTGTCCCGCTTTGGAGAAGTGATGCGTTTCCTGTGTTGCTTGGTCTGGCCCATGTGGTCATCATCATAGACTTGGAAATGTTAGTTTTTAGTCATTTTAGTACTCCCTTTCCCGCAGAGCAGAGGCCCTTGTTGTGTAACACAATACAGTCATGTCTGTGTGATATAAAAAAGCTTGACCATTTCTGAGTTCCTCAGAAAGATACATGACACACCAGCATGTGTAAAATCGAGTCTCGTCAGGGCTTTGGTTAAACTTTTAAAAAATTGAACTTATTTGTATATTTAAAAAATTTTGGATTAGGCATGGTCAACTAGTCATCCAGCCATTTTATTTTGACATTTTAATGGTGTTTTAATTTGCATGCGGTACTTTAGCTAGACATTTTTCTTGATAAAAACCACTTGGACAAGTTGTACCTTTTAAGTTAATCCTATTAAAAGTATTACAATTTTAGATTGGCTGTTGAAATTTGGGGGGTTTTGAGACAGCTTGTCAAGTTGAAAAATTGTTCAACTTCTAAACTTCTCAAGACTCATTCGATTGCACTCTATCTATGTTTTTAAACAGAAGAACATGCCTCATGTAAACAACCCCTTAAACTGTCTTCTAGTGTGACTTGTGGCAGTTGTAGCTGAAGATTGCAGACATTGAAAAAGTGGCCTAAGAAATGCATCCTATCATGTCAGGTGAACCCCAAATTGTAAACAGATAGATCACTCAAAAAATGAAAATTCTGCAATCATTTACCCAACCTAATTTCATTTCAAACCTGTATGACTTTCTTGTTTCTGTGCAACACAAAAGAAGATATTCAGAAGAATGCTGTGGTCAGACCTCATTCACTGAAAGTATATTTACTTTGAAACGGTTTCACTTGGAAATTGCTAGCAAATTCCACAAACTATTTCAAAGAAATGACAATTAACACATTGAATTTAATGTGAAATTTTGAAATTCTATGTTCTTGTAAAACATACTGCAATAATTTTTAAATTTTCAGAGTTGGCTTTCATTGTATGGACATAAAAACATGACACAAGTCACACAACATAAGGGTGACTAAATGATGACAGAATCTTCACTTCGTGTAAAGTCACATTGTTTTCAGTTCGTGTGAACTTCTTTAAGACCTTCATGTAACCCTAAATTAAAAATATATATATATTTTTTTTTCATATCCCTAGTTTGGTTGAAATACTCTAATATCAGGTTCTTAGAAAGAGGACTTTTTTTCTACCCAGTGGCAGTGAGTCATGTCGCTGGCAAGGGGAGGAAGAACTTGTGCGGTAATTGATTGTTTAATCACTGAGCTCAGCCTCTAATTACATTACATGACTTGGCTGGAAGTTCTGTGCGTGGTTTGCAGGCAACATAGAAACAATTTGCCCTTCTGGAGGGATCTTGTGGTCGTAATCAAGTTTGACTGTTGCTGCTCAGATTTATTGCCCCCATGAATGATCTTGGGGGTCAGGCAGAGGTTGATGTGGTAATGATAGCTGTCTTTTGTGGCCAAAGGTATTGGTCTGGATTTGTCTTATTCATGGCCAAGCAGTCACCAGTGTTTGGTGAGCTCACTTGGCCTGCTTAGCTGCAAGCCTAGACCTTTTTTTCTCGACTGTGTTCTGGAGTGCACAGTTATGGTGATGATGCTGCCAAAAATAATTGTGTTTATATAGCCGCTTGCAGATATATCGCCACTCCTCCCATTGTAGCAGCGTGTGTTTTGCTGTTCATGGACGTACTGTAAAAAGCTGATTACCTGTAAAACCTGTCTGTTTGAATCATATCCAATGACAGCTTTACAGCTGTGTACAGCATCATAACAAGGTGGCGTAATGCATAAGTACTTAGTTTCTGGTTCTGGCTACTACTCGTATGTAAAACATGAAAACATCCTTTATGTGAGCATTAGGCTTACAAAAATTTTAAGTAGGGCTGCACGATTATGACAGATCATAATTGTCGATTATTCCCTTGAAATTGGAATTGCGATTTATTATTAAGATTATCACAATTTACATTGAATGATGTTTATACCATTGTTTGATGCAATGCCGTATTTTTATAAGAAAATTAACAAGCTGAAAACACTCTAACTGAAAAACTTTTAGTGCTTTTCTATAGTATTAAGCCTCAAATGTCAACTATACATCGGATTGGTTTCTTCTTTAAATTATAAAAAAAATATGAATGGTATTATAATGTTATACTAAAATTAAAATAATGGGAAAAACCCTTAAGATAACATGTAGAAAGAAAAAAATGCATCTTAAGCACGCAGGATAACATAAGTGGACTTTGAACGATTAATTGCCGCTTTGAACGATTATGTAATTGTGGCATCCATAATTGTAATCGCGATTAGAAATTTGATTAATTGTGCAGCCCTAAAGTGAAGTGCAATAGATTTGGGTTTTTACTTTGGAAATTATTTAATTTAAAGGGATAGTCCACCCAAAAAGAAATTGCTGTCATCATTTACTCACTCTCATTGTCTTGTTTTAAACCCCATTGACTTTAGTTTTATGGACTGTTCCAACTTTCATCAAAATATCTTTCATTTTCGGGTGAACTATTCCTTTAACGTTTGAGTTTATGAGTTAAGTTTTCCCTTTTGTTGTATGATTCGAATGCTCATTTGTGCACTTTTCTACTTTTAAATGTGACATTCAACAATTCTGCTTTCATTGCAGTCAGTTTTAGGCCTGTGCGGTGCATGATTTCAAAAGCAATTTAGATAATAAGAATATATGAGATCAAATGCATGCTGTGAATATGGTTTGTAAGCAGATGAAAGGAAAGGGCGATCGGTTAATGTGCACTTTTACTGAAGAGAAATGGCAAGAGGTTTGCACTACAAAAGACTCATTTAAATAGCTAATATTTAACTTAACTGAGCCACTGTTTCTCATTTCAGGCCTTTGTGTTGGGTTTGGCAAATGGGGCGGCTGGTCTAAATGTCAGGTGCCTATGGCAAGGGCGTTTGGTTCATTCTTAGGAGTAATATTTCAGAATGCTGGCTTGCACTGGGTTCACCTTTTTTTCTCGACTGTGTTCTGGAGTGCACAGTTATGGTGATGATGCTGCCAAAAATAATTGTGTTTATATAGCCGCTTGCAGATATATCGCCACTCCTCCCATTGTAGCAGCGTGTGTTTTGCTGTTCATGGACGTACTGTAAAAAGCTGATTACCTGTAAAACCTGTCTGTTTGAATCATATCCAATGACAGCTTTACAGCTGTGTACAGCATCATAACAAGGTGGCGTAATGCATAAGTACTTAGTTTCTGGTTCTGGCTACTACTCGTATGTAAAACATGAAAACATCCTTTATGTGAGCATTAGGCTTACAAAAATTTTAAGTAGGGCTGCACGATTATGACAGATCATAATTGTCGATTATTCCCTTGAAATTGGAATTGCGATTTATTATTAAGATTATCACAATTTACATTGAATGATGTTTATACCATTGTTTGATGCAATGCCGTATTTTTATAAGAAAATTAACAAGCTGAAAACACTCTAACTGAAAAACTTTTAGTGCTTTTCTATAGTATTAAGCCTCAAATGTCAACTATACATCGGATTGGTTTCTTCTTTAAATTATAAAAAAAATATGAATGGTATTATAATGTTATACTAAAATTAAAATAATGGGAAAAACCCTTAAGATAACATGTAGAAAGAAAAAAATGCATCTTAAGCACGCAGGATAACATAAGTGGACTTTGAACGATTAATTGCCGCTTTGAACGATTATGTAATTGTGGCATCCATAATTGTAATCGCGATTAGAAATTTGATTAATTGTGCAGCCCTAAAGTGAAGTGCAATAGATTTGGGTTTTTACTTTGGAAATTATTTAATTTAAAGGGATAGTCCACCCAAAAAGAAATTGCTGTCATCATTTACTCACTCTCATTGTCTTGTTTTAAACCCCATTGACTTTAGTTTTATGGACTGTTCCAACTTTCATCAAAATATCTTTCATTTTCGGGTGAACTATTCCTTTAACGTTTGAGTTTATGAGTTAAGTTTTCCCTTTTGTTGTATGATTCGAATGCTCATTTGTGCACTTTTCTACTTTTAAATGTGACATTCAACAATTCTGCTTTCATTGCAGTCAGTTTTAGGCCTGTGCGGTGCATGATTTCAAAAGCAATTTAGATAATAAGAATATATGAGATCAAATGCATGCTGTGAATATGGTTTGTAAGCAGATGAAAGGAAAGGGCGATCGGTTAATGTGCACTTTTACTGAAGAGAAATGGCAAGAGGTTTGCACTACAAAAGACTCATTTAAATAGCTAATATTTAACTTAACTGAGCCACTGTTTCTCATTTCAGGCCTTTGTGTTGGGTTTGGCAAATGGGGCGGCTGGTCTAAATGTCAGGTGCCTATGGCAAGGGCGTTTGGTTCATTCTTAGGAGTAATATTTCAGAATGCTGGCTTGCACTGGGTTCATTAGTGGTTTACGTATTATGTTTAAAGAGACTTGGATAGTCGTAATGATATCAGTTGACATCGGTCTCATAATATGATTATTTCTTAATGCTTTTGAAATGAATGTGTTTGTGTGCCAT